ATGGCTTGAACTAGATGCTAATGAGGTTCCTTTTAACTCTGAAATAAAATTCTGCGAACAAGCTCTTCATAGAATTTCTTAGCTTCTTAATCTGCTGCAACAGATGTCATCACAATAAGCTACAAGTGTCTTCATGGTGGTCTATCACATGTGCTTATTCTTAGAACTTCAAAGCAAGATGGTCAAATATCTCATACAATGACATTTCTTGCTGTGCTGGGGCACATGGTGATGAAACCAATTCTGCCAATTCCTTCATTCACATTGCCCCCAAAAGAATCTGCTAAACATCTTTCAATTCGCAGCTACTTCATTTATTTATTTTAATTCAACAAGCATCTATTAAGCACCTGCTTTGTTCAAAGCATATTGCTAGGCACCAGAGTTGCAAAAACACAAAAGAAACAATTTCTGTTCTTTATGAATTTACAAGCAAGGTAGATTAAATAGATGTGATACTGTCCTGAATATGACCTGTTATGTCCACAGTTGGAATGTTTCCCAATGGAATGTAGATCTCAACCTATCCATACCGACCCATACAGTGGGACTCTTGTTCATATCCTACCATAAGTTTGCCACTCATCATGGTAGAGCCTTTCTTCAATACCCTTAATAAACTTTGAAATATTTATTACTAGAATTCTTGGTCCAACCATTCTAGAAAGCGATGTGAAGTTAAACTGTGCATACCATTTGACCATGTGGGACCACTGCCTATAACAGAGAGGTCAAAGACCAAGACAAAGGATCCATTTGTACAAAATTATTTATAGCAGGTCTTTTTGTTGTACAAAGAACTAGAAACAAAGTGGCTGCCCATCAGATAGAAAATGCCTGAACAAATCTCATATAGCAATTTAATGGAGCATTACATTAGAAATAATGAATGGGTGATTGAGAGAAACTGGCCCAGGAGTACTTTTGTGATCTGATGCCCAGATAAGTGAGCAAGACCAAGAGAATAATTTACACAATGACCAAAATAATAATGTAAAGGAAAACAGCTTTGAAAGTCTTCAAAACTTTGATCACTGCTGTGATCAGTCATGACTTCAGAAGATTGATGACGAAATGTGTCTCCCAGCTATTAACAAGGAGCTGATGGAATAGAGCAGAATGAGGCACACATTTTCAGACTTAGCAAATATGTTTATTTGATTGTACCTATTTGTTAGAAGGGGAGTCTTCTAATTGGTGGGGAGGGGTATGAAGAGCAATAGAAATTTTTTTTAAAAGCAAAGAATTTCGATGAAATATTTTAAAATATACAAAAGAAACAGGGTACAGAAAAGTAGGTTCATTTTTTTTTAACTTCCTGATTAAATATATGCTTGAGAAAGTACGTAACAAAAGTTTACTTTTTGGGGGCAGCTAGGTGGTGCAGTGGATACAGCACTAGCCCTGAAGTCAGGAGGACCTGAATTCAAATCTGGCCTGAGACCAAACACTTGACACTTACTAGCTGTGTGACCCTGGGCAAGTCACTTAACCCCAATTGCCAAAAAAAAAAAAGTTCACATTTTCATATATAATCCTCTTTTCTGTTTTTTGTATATTAAAATGTTTGTGTTTGTTAATAAACAAGCATTTATGAAACACTATGTTCCAGGCACTGTGCTAAGTGCTGAAGACAACAAATATAAGCAAAAATAAAAATAGTCCCTGCCCTCAAGAAGCTTAAATTCTAATTGTGGAAGATAACGTTAAAGGGAACTGAAAAGCAGGGAATGAATAAGGTACTTGGTGCAGAGGCGTGGTGTTGAAGTCTGAAAAGTCAGGAACAGAAAAGCAGGAGGGGAATGAAGTCTGGCCAGCCTGGAACTCTGCTCAAAATGGAGGCCCCAAGAATAACTCACAAATAGGAGAAGGGGGCCCACCTGATGGAGGGATATTCCAGGACATGGTGGCTCCAGGCACTAAAGGAGATACCAGGGTGAAACTATAGCTATAAACTATATGAAACTATAGCTTCATGTTGAAGTCCAGAAAGTCAGAAGCAGAGCTGGGAAAACAAGAAAAAAATTCAAATAGAATTCTCTAATCTAGCATTACAAACCTAGACAGATTTTAGTTAATTGGCACATAGTCCCTGATTGCTAGTCTGTGTGCTCTGCAGATAGGGCTAAATTGACACAATACCAGTTGCCTTATCACTTATTGTTTTTCATTTGTGTAGTCAGGTGCCTCCAAACTACTGCTTTTGCTTAATATCCATTCTGAGTCATGTACAGCTAATTTCCCCCAGCTGGCGACAGTCGCCATATGTGGTCCTTGGATACGGATAGCCTCCCTTCCTGCATGCACAGCTGCTGCCCTGAGACAAGCACTTTTTAGAAAAGCTAAACTTAAGGGGGTGGGGAGGAGTGAAGGAATTCCACTCACTTCTCAAGTGTTCTATCTTAACTGGATATTCCAAGGGATTTTGTAATAACTTATAAAAGGACATCCAAATATTATCAAGTTGATGTTGATGTAATTGTTTTTTCTTTTTTTAAATCTGGCTTTCAAGCTGCATTCAGTGTTGGATATTTTTAGGTTGTCACAGGTATTGGTCTTAAGAAAAAAACACATCATAATCTCATACCAAAAGAACTCCTAAAAGCAGCAGAATGGATTTTGGCAAAGTGTCCAATGAATGTTCATTTCCAATGAAGGAAGTGGAGATAAGAGTGTTAGGGAGACATGATAGTATTGTAGTTGGATTAAATTTGAAGGTCTGAACATTCCATTTCTGACTGATTTCTAATTCCCGTTCAGCATGCACCTCACACATTTTTCTGACAAGGAAGAGAAGTAAATTATTTAAGTTAAATTTGAAACTAAACCAAACTAGCCATTGGAAACTAAAAAGCCATTTTTGGAGTTTGAAAATCATTACAATATTGAATAGTGATGTTTGTAAAACTTAAGGAGGATCCTGGAAGAATTGGGATAATAAAACCTAACACTTTAAAAAATTTATTGTATTTTACCTACTCACCATACAGGGCCACTGCCATATACTCTAAAGGATTAGTTTTATCTGTAGCTAACATGTCTTCTGCAATGAATTTTGAATACAACAGAAACAATCAAAAACATTTATTAAGCACTTACTATGTGTCAGGAATAATGCCAGATACTGGGGATAGAAAGACAAAAATGAAACAGTTCCTCTCCTCAATGAGCTTGCATTCTGTCAATAAATCCTAGTGATAAAAATTCACTAGGTATTGTGAGGTATTGACTTCCACCTGAAGTGTATGGTCAATGGCTTCTGCACTGGTTGATGATGGTCTATTGAGAACATTATGGAAGTGTTCAGCCCATCCCTCCAGGATCCATTCTTATCACTGATCAGTGTGGCTCCATCAGAGCTGAAAATTGAACCAATTCCATTTGAATTGTCTTAAGAAGATTCTGAAGATTACCTGGCAAGATAAGGTGCCAGCACTGAGGTCCTTTGTCAAGCTGAATTGCCAAGCATTCAAACTCTGCTCCAGAGAGCACAACTCTGATGGGGTGGCCAGGTTGTTCAAATGCCAAATGTATGTTTGCCCAAAACACTGTTTTACAGAGAACTCACATAAGGCAAGCACTCACATGGCAGTCAGAAGAAAGATTACGAGGACACTCTCAATGTCTCTCTGAAGAACTTTGGAATAGATTGTGAGAGAGGACCACCCAGCATGGTGTGTCCACATCAAAGAAGGCACTATGCTCTATGAGCAAAGCAGAATTACAGTAGCTCAAAAGAAATGTGAGACATGTAAATTTAGAGACATCTCCCTCCCAAATGGTCACACAGACTATTTGTGCCCAACCTGTGGTAGAGCCTTCCAAGCTAGTATTGTTCTGATCAGCCATAGTTGCACAAACTGTACATTGACTCCAACATCATGATGTCATTTTGGTCCTCTTCAAGCACAAAAGACAACAAATGAGTTCATAGGAGCAAATAATTATCTAACCAGGGTGAATTTAATCATTAACAAAATAATGTTTGTTGAATGAGGAAACTGTAAATTACAGAATCACAGAAAGTTGAAAACTGGAAGGGATTTTGGAAATCATCTTCCAACCTCTTAATTTATAGGAAAGGAAAGTGAGGTCTCAAGAGGTCAATTGACCCACCCAACGTCACCCAACTGGTGGTAAGCAAAGCTAGAATTAGAATATCCAACAGCCTCAGATTTGGGGTATCTTCTGACTCTGAGGCTGCTGTTTGTTTCACTTTATACCCCACTATCTCTCCTTCAATTTAGAAATGTATGGCTTGGGCAAATATTTAGTTTTTGTACATAGTGCCAATCAAGTGCAACAGTATTTAACCTATTTTTCAGTTTTAAAAAAATTAGAAAATGTTATGACTTTGAAGTATTGATGATGATGAAGTATTCCTCCTGCTTTTTACCAGAGAGGTGATGAGTTAGGGAGTCAGAATGAGACATACATTTTCAAGCATGGCTAATATGTTGATTTGAAGTGTTTGACTATACTTATTTATTATAGTGAGGGGTTCTATTGGGTAAGGGAGGGGGCTGAGTTAGTGGAACGTGATAGGGATACAAAAAAGAAAGAAAGAAGATTAATAAAACAAAAAATACATAGCAGAAATCAAAAAGAGGTTCAGAAAGGAACACAATTATGGCTATTTTTATTATATGTTAAATTTAATATATGCTTTTAAAATACATATAATATATTATATGTATAATTAAAAGTTATATACTCAAGGGGCAGCTAGGTGATACAGTAGATATAGCACCAGCCCTGAAGTCAGGAGGACCTGAGTTCAAATCTGACCTCAGACCAAACACTTGACACTTACTAGCTGTGTGACCCTGGGCAAGTCACTTAACCCCAATTGCCACAAAAAAAAAAGTTATATATTCAAAATTTTAAATCCTCTTCTTATTCTTTATATATTGGACATTTTGTATTGATGATTGTTGAGTTGACAATAAAAAGTAAACAAAACTTCAAAATGATTACTCACATCATTTTTCTCATTCCAGAATTCTGCACCTCAGTCCATTCACAGCATTCTGCTTCTGGTGGATAAAGAATCAGCATTCAGGCCTGACAAGGATACAGCACTACAGGTAAAATTAAGAAGTGGTTTTAGATTTTTAGCACTGTGCATAAACTCAAAATAATATATAATGTTTAGATGTTTGTGTGTGCTAAGAAAAATAAGGTATACAGTAAAAAAAAAAAAAAAAAAAAGATTCCAAAGACTTAGCTTTTTTGTTTCTTGAAAAAAACCCTCTTGATTCTTATGCTTCTTTCTTTTAATTTTTTTCCTATTTATCCTGTATATAGCTATTTGTACATATTTGTTTACTTGTCTTCCCTCTTGGGTTGTAAGCTCCTTGAGGGCAAGGACTATCTTTTGCCTCTTTTTGTCTCCTCCAGCACTTAGCCCAGTGCCTAGCACATAGCAGGCACTTAATAAATGTTTATTGACTGAGAAATGGCCCCAACTTTTCTCAAAAATAAGTTTATTTATCTTGTCTTTTGAATATAATCTTTCTTTTTCCATCAAGACAAGCTTGAGGTTATTTTCCAAATGTGATGATAAAGAAGTGGGAACTGATATTCATTTAATTTTCACTTTGACATTAGATGTAGTTTGGGGGACAAAAACATAACGTATTAAAATACAGATAGGTAGTTTAAGCTTGAGCAGGATAAATGACAAGCAGACATAACAGAACAACGATATGAGTACTTGGTTTAATAGACTAAACTCAAATTTCTTCTTGCCCTTCTTGAATTAAAATCCAAGTCAGTGTAGAAAGAAAAGTATAAAATCATTTATGTATCATGCAAGTCACTCAGTAAAAAAAGAATCTTACTATTTCTTATTCAAATTGTTGATCATTAGTATAGAAAGGAATAAAATCTTCAAATAGTAGTTTATATTTATTTGGAGCCAAAAGGAGTTGAGAGTATGGGAACTTTTGTTCTATTGCACTTTTATTTGTTTTTGTTGATTTCCTTGAATTATTTAGCACCTGATTGTAATAATTTTACAAATGCTGGAAATTAGTCTAAGGAGCTGTGTGCTCCTTAGAATAAATAAACTATTTAAAATAAACTATTTAAATAATAAACTAATAAACTATTTAAAACTATTTAAATAAACTATTTTAAAAGTGGAAATTTCTATCAATCAATAGGTGGTTTTGTCTTACTCTATACCACATGCCATGGCCTGTGTAACTTACAGGTCCCATGTCCTTACAAGCTTGGCAGCAATGCCAATGTAACATCCACCTGGAAGATTAACTTTCCTCCGGACTCAGAACCAAGCCTTGCCCCAGGCAGGGACCACATAAGGAAGTCTCTGTGAGAAGTTCATACCATATGAAACTGAAATGGGAATACCACAAGCTAGTCTTGCTGTTTATCATTGTCTCTCCAGGGGTGGGGAACCTGTGGCCTTGTGGCCCTTTAGGTCCTCAAGTGTGACCTTTCAACTGAATCCAAACTTCACAAAACAAATCCTCTTATTATTTGTTCTGGCCCCATCTGGCCGCAAGTTCCCCACCCCTGTTGTATTCCAATTCATGCAGTATTCAAAGGTTTACTCTGACCCCACGGCTAGGAAGACAAAACCTCAGCCAATTATTTCCAGGCTTCTAACTCTCCGTCTCCAAGCATTCAGAATTCCAAAGGCATTCTGCAGAATTCAAATATTAGGAAGCAGTGCGTCAGGGTGACATTCTCCACTAATTCTCGAATCCCTGAGAGCAAAGGCAGGGCAGACATTTGGTCAGTCTTGGGCCCTACAGGAACACGGAATGATTAATGCTGCACAATAAAACAATACAGAACTGAAAGCTGTGCCTGGATCTTCTCAAACCCAGGGCCTCTGCGTGGCAGCAGGCCTCTCAGGTATAACCTATTTACTCTCTAGAGTGGCTGAGAAAGCAGGAAAAAGCCCATTCCTCACAAAATCCCCTTCTTCCCAATAGCTGAATTCATGGCAATAATAAAAAATCTTTCAACTCTTTTTCCTCAGCAGTGCGAGGTCCTGACCTCCCTAAAGGCCCTGCATAAACTCATTGACAGCACGCAGCTGACAGCAGAGTTTGATGGGACCTTTCCCTACAACCACAGTGACTGGATCCGTTTCCGAAGGGTAAGTACGGCATTCTGGCTCAGTGCTCCCTTCCCTTGTTTTTCCATTTCTGAGTATGTACAGAACTCTATTGTTCTGCCCATTATTTTATAGTCATTCATACATTCATTCATACAGCAAGCATTTATTAAGTGTCTACTATATGCCAAACAATGTGTTAGTCACTAGAGATATAAAAACATGGCAGCCATCAAGGAGCTTACATTGTGAGGAAAATGTTTTGCAAACCTTAGAGTTCTATGTAAATGTGAACTATTCTTCTTGTTATCATGCATTCAAATAAATATACAAGGTGGAATGGAGATAGCTTGCCACTATGTAAAAAGAGGTGGCCTCTGAGCTAGGAAGATGTGTTTGAGTTGAGTTCTGACACATACACACATACTAGCTGTGTGACCTTGGGTGAGTCATTTAACCCCTCAACGCTCTAGATATCTCTCTAAGACTATAAATAGCAGATGAGGTGATAACCTTAATTGGTAATCAGAAAGTCTTCATCTGGGAATTCCCCATACCAATGAAATCATAGGGACCATTCCTAACACTAACTCTAACAAGGTGGAATATGATAAGCAAAGGAGATATACAATCAAAGTCCCATAAGAAAATATAAGGAGGGAGAGATCACCCTCACTCAGGGGGAATCGGGCACCAGCCCTCTAGGTTCTCTCTCTACAACTCTGTCACATCTGACCCTTCTTCTCTAATTATACATCTATCACTGCAGGAGGATGGGGGATGGGGGACATGATTGCTGCCTTCCAGTATTTGCACACAGTCAAATTTATTGAGGCAGAAGGGCTTGTGTAGCTCAATTAAACTATGAGCTATGTCATGCAGGGTTGCCCAAGATGGACATAGTGGATATTCTGATAAAAGGTGATCCACTGGAGAAGGAAATGGCAAACCACTCCAGTATCTCTGCCAAGAAAACCCCATGGACCTTATTAAGATGCTAAAAGCTATGACATTGGAAGGTGAACCCCTCAGGTCAGAAGAGGGCCAGGTGTGCTCTGGTCCACAGGGTCAAGAAGAGTTAGACATGATCGAACAACAAACACTTAGAAATAGGGATCTGATTTGTTCTGTTTGCTCCCAGAGGGCAAGACCGAGGCCGATGAATAAAAGTTACAGAGAGATAGGTTTAGACCTGATGTGAAGAAAATCTTCTTCATAATGTTCAGAGAAGGAATGGACTACTTTAGGAGAGAGTAAGTTACCCATCATGGGATTTAGTGACCATAAACTGAATGAACACTTGGAGATGAGATGAGGGAATTCCTTATCAGGTTTAGCTTAGATTGTCTCTGAAGTCCTGAGATTCTGTGATTTTGTGTGATGTAGCGATGGCCTTGGAGGCAAGAAGGCTTGGTTCAAGCCCTACCTCTGACACATATTAGCTGTGTGACCCTGGCCAAGTCACTTATCCTCTCATATCTCAAGTAGCTCTAACATCATAAATTGGTGGGAGAGCACTAATCTATAATGGTAGGGGAAGTTCCCCATTAGGAACATCCTACAGTGATAAAATCGTACTATCCGCTAAAAAAAGACAAGAAAATAGGTGACCTATCTCTTGCCTATCCTGTAAACTCCACAAAGTTAGTTATGGCGCCTTACCTAGCTGTACTCCATGAATGTGTCTTATTTAAACTTTGTATCTCTCCCAGTGCTTACACAATGTTCTTGCAGACAGTCAAATACTTAATATTTGTAAAATTGATTTGATTTGAACTGATTTTATAACCAATAATGACTTTAATCCTACAAACAAAGCCCAGACTGTTCATTTGAAATCTCATCTCTTACTTTCCATCTCTTCCTCCTCACAAAACATGGCAGAAACTGGAACCATTTGCTACAAACTGCAAAGAAGCCATTACTTTTCTACAGAATTCCGTCTGTTCCCTGAACACAAACAGGACTCTAAGTACAGTGCAAGTAAGTGGTTGTTTATTTATTTAGAAAGATGATAAACTTTTGGTTCTAAAAGCAAAGAGACATATTCATTAAAGTATAGGTTGTTGGGTAGCGGGCTAGTTTTGGAAACTAATGTTTATTGGAAATGGGATGTCCAACTTTTAGTTCCCTTTCTTACCTGCAGTAATTGTCCTCAAACATTTGTTTGGTTTGTGAATGTCTCAAATGGTAGAACAATTTCCACAAGAAACTTAGTATACATTTTCCAACTCACTACCCCCATGAAAGTAACCTTCCCAAAAAGAAGGCACCATTTTTGAAGATATGTCGAGGAAATATATCATTTCTCGGGAGACAGAACCCATATTATCCTCCCTTATCCTACCTCTTATAATGGGACCAGTGACTTCCTCTCCTTACCTGCTTGCTGATGAGAATAGTTAATCCCACAACTCCAAGGCACTGGTTGGGGCTTCTCATACATGAGTCAGGACTCTGGTTTTTTTTTTTAATGTAGCTATAGTAGGAATTTATCCATTTATAAAATCCCATATACATTATAAATACAGGTAATTTTCCCATTTACAAAGTCACTAACATTTCCTAGCAAAATACAAATCTCAAGAAAATTGAGTGACCTGAAGCTAAATCCCATTTTCATCTTCCTTTTCCTTTAATCTTCTACTTACATATATATTGGGCAGCTGGGTAGCATAGTGGATAGAGTGCCAGGCCTGGCATCAGGAAGACTCATCTTCATGAGGCCTCAAACACTTACTAGCTGTGTAATCCTGAGCAAGTTATTTAACCCTGTTCTACTCAGTTCCTCATCACTAAAATGAGCTGGAGAAGGAAATGGCAAACCACTCCAAAATCTTTGCCAAGAAAACTTCAAATGGGATCATGAAGAGTCAGATGCAATTGAAAACAACTGAATGACAATGTATACAGTGGTTTATGTCTTATACTATAAATGAACCTGACTTTCACTACAGATGTATTCCAGAGAAGTTTCATGTAAAATGATTTTTTTAATAAAATCACTTGAATGCCTCCCCCAAAGGAGATCACATTTTTTCCTAATAAGAAGCCTTTGATTTTCTTGTAATCTTAGATTAGTGACTTGGCATAAGACCATATAAGTTACTAACCAGGAGATGCCAATAATGCAAGTTCCCTATGTAGGAGGGGCCAGGGAAAGGGGAACATAGGATTTTGAAAAATGGAACAGGTCAGAAGATAGGCTGATAAATCCTCAGAACAATGCCCAACACAGCGCCTTTCATCTGGGGACCACCTAATAGTTATGCAGCCCTGTGGACTAGGAAAACACACTGGATTGGGGTCAGAAAACCTAGATTCTAGTCAATCCTGGTTCTACTCTTAAGTAGATAGATGACCTTGGATAAGTCGTTTTTCTAGACTTCAGTTGCCTTGTCTGCAAAATGGGGGAAGGGATTGAACTAGTTCCATCTCTCTGACCCCTTCTAATGCTAAAGTTCTCTGTTTCTATGTCCAGCAAAGCAAGGATGGAGGGTATTGGGAGCAGCAGTGGAGATGAGGAAGGATGAAGGAACTTGGGGGCATAGTGGGCAGGGCTCCATTCACCTATCTCTCCTGAACCCACAGGATTTGTTCTGCCCACCTCTCCTTCTGCTGCCTATCACTTCTGAACAGGGTTTTTCTCTGAGGAAAAATGTGCCTCATGGAAAGTTTTATAAAGGTTTCCTGGGATTTTTCACCCCAAAAAATCTTATTAACAAAGAAGAGAATAAAAAAGGTCTCCTTCCCTTTTTTCTCCCTTCTTTTCAAAACAAAGAAAAAAATGAATTCTCACAAATGTGGGACTGCAAACAATGGATTAAATAAAGATTCATCTGTATTTCAGTGGAAATCTACACTCAAGCTTCCATAGGCACTGGTCCCTGGAATACTGATGAGTAAGGACGTGGAACAGGGGTTGACATGAGTACTGGTAGGGTTGGGAGAGTCTGTGGTAAAGTGAGAAGAGAGTGAGGAGGGCTCAGCCACTGGTAGCAGCTGAGGGCAAAGAAAAAGGGGGAGAAGAGAAAAAAGGAGACCTCCTGTGGCCATTCCTCAGCCCTAAGTCAATGACTGAGCTTACCTTGTCAACCCTATACAAAACTGAAAATGAGATATTAATCTATGTGCATCGTAGTTTGATACTTTTGTGATTTTATTATTAGCTTTCAGTTGTATAAAATTGTGTTTCTCATAGCACTTTCATATCTTTTGGGGGGGGCATAATGGAAAGAACATTGGATTTAGAGCCAGGAAGACTTGAGTTCAAATTCTTCCTCAGACACTTACTGGCTGCATGTCCCTGGACATCCTCTCTGCCTTGGTTTCTTCATTTGTAAAATGTGATAATAATAGCACTTACCTTCCAGACTTCTTGTGAGAATCGAACAAAATGATACATGTAAAGTTTTTTACAAATGTTAGAGTATTAAATATATATTAACAATTTATTATTTTATCCATGTATCAGTTTTGTCCTGCCTTCTTCAAAGGGTTATTTGTCCCTTTTCTAGATGAGGCATAAAAAATTGTCAAGCCCAATATTAAGGACAGAACCAGAAGGGATTAAAATATTATTTTTCCTTCTTAAAAAATCTTCTTAATTTTAAACTTTTTATAGAAAGAAAATTTGTACAAAGGGAAATTTTAAGTTCAAAAACGTTAAAATAACTCTCTTGGTGCTAGTCTGCATTAGTAGAAGGAGTCTTCTCACTGGGAGTTCCTTATACACAAAAGAAATCACAGGTTCAGAATTTTTTTAAAACCTCAATTTTATTATTGTAGGATAGAGATTAGAACTTTTATTTTTATGATATTAGACAGTGATAGGGACTAGATCTATGATTTCATTGATATAGAGAAACTGCTTCTACCAATGTTGGTAGGGACCTTCTTTGCAACTTTTAGACTTAGTTGCCCAGAGCTCTGAAAGGTTAAGTAATTGCCCAAGGCCTCACAGCCATTATGAGTCAGAGGCAGGACTGGAATCTGGGTCTTTTGATTTCAGAGTCAGCCCTCTATCCACTACTTCATTCTGCCTCTCCTTTTATACTATCAAAGACAATATATTAATTTAAACTCTATGGACTGTAGTTGCTCCATCAGTAAATGCAGGAGGATGGACCAGATATTTTGCTTTTTTTTTCTTTGAGGTCTGTTCTAAAAGCAATGATCCAGTGACTAGTAAAGGACTAATTACAGAAATAAAACCATAGATAATGTCATTACCAACAAAAATGCTACAAGAAACCAAACATGGAGTGCACTTGCAGACAACAAAGGGTCTGGAGACCAAAAATTTAGTATCACTGATCAACAGCTTGATTAGCCAATTGACAATTCCCTCTATTCCATTCTTTGTTTTTCTGTTCAAGATTCATAAGGACTTGAAAATTTTTATTTTTATTTGTGAATTTAACATTCATCAACTCCTGTTATTATTCATAGGCCTCAATTCCAAGCCATTTCTTCCTGTGGAGTGATACTGGGATTTCTTTACCTGCACTGTCTCTGCTAAAACTAAACTCAATAAATCAATAAACATTTATTAAGCACTTGCAACATATCAGACACTGTGCTAAGTGCTAGGGATACAAAAAGAAAAAAAAGATAGTCCCTACCCTCAAGGAGCTTACAGCCTAATTGGGGAAACAACATGCAAACAAATACATCCAAATACTGGATAAATAGGAAATAGTCAACAGAGGGAAAGCACTGGAATTAAGAGGGGTTAATCTCCTCCCATGTGATAGTTGCTATGGCATGGTGTTTGTCACTCATTTTCTTAGACAGGAAGCACCTGAGTCTTAAATATTAGTTCATACTTCAAAGCACTATCCATGAATACATTATGTAAACTTTCTAAAAATATAAAAAAAACCCAAATAAATAAATAAACATATATATCTTTTTTTTCTTTCCCTGTAGGAGGTGGTGGAACTAATCAACAAACATAAGACGATGATGAAGCTTGTTCTGGAAGATGTCCTTCTGGTAACTCTCCGCTTAGAAGGTGGCACAGTCCTTGCCAGGCTCCGGAAAGAAGATTTCTGTGTAACTGAAGATTATAGGTAAGTGGATGCTTTCAAAGCGACATTGGGTGGTAGCCAAAATTTCATGTTAATCAAGAATGAGAATTTGCAAGAACAGTACTTATCATACACTGAAACATATATGGCTGTGTTCCTTAGAAACTGTTCTCCCAAAAAATGCAATTGTGAGAGATGCAACCCAAAACTCTCCTCCCCTTGAAGCCACAATCTCCACGCATTGGCAGGGCCAGTCCTTATCTGCATCTGTCTATGTAAAACAAAAACAGGCTAATTTTATTTAAATACTCAAATGGAAGAAAAATGAACACTCATCATATCTGCCATAGAGTCAGAGACCCTGTTTGATTATGAATGAATTCTCCTTTGTTATCCAATATTCCAACTTGATTTCATCTTGGGAAACTCCATTCTGCCTACCTAAATTCCTTTTGCCATTTCAATTAGACATGGAATTCAGCTTTGCTCCATGCTGCTCAAGGGTCATTGTTTCTCCTCCAAAGAGACTGAATTTCAGGATGGGTGATTTTACTCCATACACATGCACATATATATGAGAGCGAAAGGCTCATTGTTTGGCCGTGGCTTTGTGTGGAAGCATCATGTACTGGCTTTCAAGCATGACTTAGTTTACAAAATTAGGACTTCTATTACTCTGAGTCATCATCGCACTGGCGTATTCCAACATCCTTCCCAGAAGTATTCAAAGAAGCTGTTTCTGTTCGTGACAGGCCTGTCTGAATAGTGCTATGCATTGACTGCTATTGTCTTCTCTTCATCAGAGATGCTATGGAAGCTATAACCAGACTATATAATCAAGTAGATGAAGAGGTCCATAGGCTAGTCCTCTCATCTAATAAGTGCCTTCAGCAGCTGGAGAACCTGCAGGAATTAAGAAAGCTTGAGGAGGGATGTAACCAGGTCAGTACTCGTCTTGAGACAAAACAAATAAGGGGCATCCAAGCCTCTGGCTTTCAATCTGGCCATCTACATCCTTGTTGGACAACTATAATTTGAAAGAAAAAAATTAAAGAATAGTTGATAAACTAATGTTCATCTTTAAAAGATTTTATTCTGTCTGATTTCTTGCCCCCAGACTTCTAGCCCTGATCCCCAAGGGAATCACTCCTGAGATTATCACTTTTCTTCCCTTTTCTCTGAGGATCTAAGATAGCTACAAGGTTCCTTTAATCCTTTATGTTTTCCATCATAATACCATTGTCTCTGAGCATCTGGTAAGCAATTGCCCCTCCTTCTTGAAGGCAGCTATTTTCTGAAGACTGGAAAGATTGCCTTGCTATTTCTCATAACAGACTAAATAATGTTGGTCCAAAAGGTTTGCTTCTAAAATTAAAAAAAAACAACCCACAAGTTTAGATTCTAATTGCAGATGTATCATAGGTACCAGATGGAGGGGGAGACAAGATGGCCGAGTGTGTTAAACCCAGGACAAATTGGGTGTTTGTCATCCCTTTTAAAGGAAGTTCAGCTCTACTTTTCACAGAGAAAAGTAAAGGCTACAGTTATTGAACAGCTTAATGAATGTTCCTGTGGCGTGTTTAACATCTCTTATCATTTTGGACTTCCAAAGTCCCTCTACTAATGCAACTAAAGCACCTGCTCGGTGACTTAAATTCTTAGGGAATAGCTGAGGGTGCTAAGATGTTAAGTGACTTGCCTGTGTTCATACATGTCATAAGTGTCAGACACAGGACTTGAACCCAAATTTCTATCCATTGTGACACTGCCTCTCATGACATCCACACATTCCAAACCTGAAGATTTTGAATCCACTTAACATGTTACTTCAAGGTCCCCTTTCTAAGCAATGGAACTTGTAAATTTGAGCCAAAGACAATTTCTTGTGCTTTGAGCACTTGGGTAAATTGAAATGAAGAACATGAGCTCATCAGTGCATATTTTGTTTATTTAATAACTTTTGTCTCTCAGTTGACCCTGTTAGAAAACATACAGCATTCATTTCTTAAAATAACAGGTCTAATTCTTCATACATTTGGTTTTGATTGCTGTATATCTAATCAAGACTTAATTAACAGAAATTAAAAATACCTATGTGCCTATAAATAATGATCTTATCCCACTATGAAACAAGTAGGACTATTTCCTAAAAGTGAGAGACTGACTCACCCATGTGAGGTTACTAGATTCTTCTGAGGCGCCATGATACATGACCTCTTCTAGGTTATAAAAATAGGCTTCATTTTATCATACTCTGCTATGTTGTTCGGGCCATGGTCCTACATGCACTTAAAAATTGTTTTAATCTTCTTTTCCTATTTAGATTAAATTATGGTTTGAAAATGAGCGAGAAAAATATCTTGGCCCTTTGGAGCTACTTTCTTTGGAGAATGTGAAGAAAAAGCAGGAAGAATTTCGGGTATTTGGTGACATGGTGATGGTAGGTGTTATGGAATGGGTCACTCCCATTGTGGTCTTCACAAATGCTCTTTTCTACCATTATCATCCTTCTGTTATATTCTGATATCCCCACATAGGTGTTTAAGTAGAAATCTGAATTTGCTTTGTACCTCTAAGAAGTAATTGAATCTTGATTTTTCCTGGAAGACAGGAAGGCATTTATCTCTATTATTAGTACTACAATAATCTGTTAGATACATATGTGGATTAAATGGTATAAGGATGTTTAAGTGGTATCGGTTTATATTCATCAAATTTTACCTATTATCTATTATAGTAACTAAATGCCTTAGGCACAAAATCTATTCTATTTCTTATAGACAAGGGGAAAAAATAGGGATCAGAGATACGAATATAAATTACCATAAACAGTATGTCTCTGATTCATTCATTCATTCATTCATTCAATCGATCAATATTGACTAAGTGCCTACTAAGTGCTAGGCCCTATTACAAAGATATCAGTTAAAGAGTCCCTGCCTTCAAAAAACAGGTGTCCACATGTAAGTATAAGCAAAATATATCTGAAATAAATACAAGGTTATTGGAGGGAGCCACTATAAGCTGGGGGTGGGAAAGGTGGGATCAGGAAAGGCCTCTTTCCTAGAGCTGGGTTTGAGCTGAGCTTTGAAGGAAACCAAGTAGAAGTAAGGAAGAAATACTAGGCGTAAAGGCCACCTGAGCAAAGGCAGGGGGACCAGAGATAGAATGTCATGTGTAAGGAATAGTAAGAAAGGATAGTTTTTAGCAAAGGTGTTTTGTATAGATTGAATGGATGAGAAAGGTCAAGGATAATAATGTGATGAGATGATAAGGATTGAAAGAAGGGCTGCTGGATTTGACAAGTAGTCATTGTTTACCTTTGGGTTTAGTAGTAGAAGTAGTAGTAGTAGTAGTAGTAGTAGTAGTAGTAGTAGTAGTAGTAGTAGTAGTAGTAGTAGTAGTAGTAGTAGTAGTAGTAGAAGATCCCAAAACAAGAGTTGGGGGAAATGTACTGTAGTGTCTTGGGCCACTAGAATTCTGTTCATTCATCCTATTGAGAATAAAAGTAATAAATTCCATGATTTGGCATTAGCTGACATCTGCTTCTTAATGATGTTAATTTTTAGGTTAGGAGGCTATTGAAAAAGGTTATTTTTTATGTTGCAATTCTGATCACTTCTGGAGAATTTTGAGCTGGAAGGAACCTGAGTTCCTATAATCCAGCTCCTTCATTTTATAGATGAGAAACTGAGGTCCAAAGAGATTAAATGACTTCTCCAAGTTAACATAGAAAGCAAGGTGCAGAGCTGAGATTTGAATCCAATGTGAACAATGCCAAATATAGCATTGTTTCTGTTGTACAACATTGCTTCTCTACTTCATTAGTGGATACCGATTGTGTTGAACTGGGTAGAAAGCTGTCCTTGACGTAAAGGAAGATCTGGCTCAAGTCTTGTCTTTGACACATACTGACTATGTGACTTTGGGCAGTTCATTTAAACTCCCAGCACCCCTGGCAACTCTTGAAGATTATAATTTGTGGAGAGGGTGCCAATCTGAATTGGTCAAGGGCGTCTCTACCAGTTAGTAGAGGGTTTCTCTACACTAATAAAATCACAGATTCTGTTTTGTTTTGTTTTTTAAAGAGCTGGTAATAGAGGCTTTAATGAAACCTGTGGTGGTAGGAAAAGAGTGTAAAGGCATTGTAGAGGCAGAATTCATGAACTTGGCCACACAGCTGAAAGTGGGAGGTGACACGGAGAAAAGTCAAACACCAAGATTTCAAAAGTAAGAGTGATACGTTCTGGAACCTCCATTAGGTGGTGGGAAATGTGGTAACAGAGTCTAGGACAAAGGTTAGGGCTGGAGATAAAGATGTGGAAGTCAGGTCTATAAATGAAATAGTTGAAGATGTAAGGATAAGCAAAATCGTCCAGGAAGAGAAGAGGGTCTGAGGAAAGAATCTTAGGGAAACATATCTCCCCCCTTAAAGAACCAGAAAGATAAAGAGAATCCAGGGAAGGAGATTGATAGAAAGGATAAGAGACATAGGAAGAATATCAGTAGAATGTATGGTCATGGAAGCCAATGTATCCAGAAGGAGTGGGTGGATGGGTAGTTGTTCAACAGTTTTATGAGCTTCTAAGAAGTCAAGGGATAACAAGGACTAAAAAAGATGATATTAGATTTAGCAAGAAGGGGGCAGCTAGGTGGCACAGTGGATAGAGCACCGGCCCTGAAGTCAGGAGGATCTGAGTTCAAATCCAGCCTCAGACCAAACACTTAACACTAGCTGTGTGACCCTGGGCAAGTCACTTAACCCCAATCGCCTAAAAAAAATAATAATAAGATTTAGCAACAAGCCACTGATGATCTTGGAAGAAAGTAGTATCTGTCCAGTATGGAATTGGAGGAAATGCATTGTGGCATCTTAGGTCACAAAAATACTTTTCTTCTTTAGACTATTGAGAGCAAAAGTAATAAATTCCACAGGTTGACTTTAGCTGATGTTTTGTTCTTGATACTGCAGCAATATTGTAGGAAAGGACTACAATTGGTGAAAGATAATAACTCACCAAACATGGAAGAAAAAATTCAGAACTTCAAAAGGTACCTAAATGACATCATCAGTCAAACAGAGAGAAGAAAAGGGGAGCTGGAGAAGTTGGCCAATCTCTATGAATTTTATGAGACGGTAAGAGAATCAGTTGCCTCTGGAAAATGTGACAAAAAAAAATGACCTTTTTGGGGCAGCATCTTTTTTTTTAAATTTGATAAAATATAACTCCTCCCCAAGTCCTGCTCTAGGCTTCATCCTGGTATGGTACTAATGCTATACTCTTGAAAGTTATTTCCAGAGTGCCCAAGTTCTGACTGGCTACACAAAGTTAGAAAAGCTTCACATACAGTCCCATTGGGACCTAGCTGACAATGGAGAGGCATGCCACCAGCATCTTGATCAATGTGTAATGAAATGTTTGGTCACAGCAATCCATGGGGAGAAAAAAAGAAAGAACAAAATCATCCTCAGCCCTATGCAATCTCCCTGTTTCCACAAGTTCGAAACCATCTATAAACACTACTTTAATTGTGTTTCATCTAAATGTGCTATCTTTGTCCAATGACCAAATCTGTATGTTGCTAAAGGAATTAAACCTCATCAATATTGCCACAAAATGTTGAATGACCTAAAGAAAGACATTTAGCATGTTGAGTATATGTCTCTGTGGGGGATTGTGAAAAAATAGGGACAATAATCACTCAAGATGAGAAGGCATAAATGGATTATGACTGATACCAAAGGAGGGGGTATCCAGATCAACAAGATTAAAAAAAGTATTTTAAGTATTGTTGTCGAGTTAAAATATAACCAGTTCTCTAACTTAAGAGAGATACTAATTTAGCCATAGGTAGAGATGATTTCTTCTCAGTTCCATGTTGTTAACTTTAGGAAGCAGATTGAATTTTATGCCAAATTATCCTGAATAAACAAATCTTTTCTTTCTGCTAATGATTGAAGTCCTACAATTTCATTTATTGCCCCAAATCCCTTAGGTAGACTTAACAACCAACTCAATATATAGCTGCCAACTCATTTGTCATTCTTCTCCTCCCTGGACTGCTAATGCCAAAGTTTGCCTTAAGAAGAGATTCTCTTTAAATGACAGAAACAGAGGAGAAGCAAGAAAGTCCTGGCTTATGAGTCAGATTCCAGCCCTGGCTCTGATATCAAACCATAACCGTAAGCAAGTCGCTTAACCTTTCTTGGTCTTTGTTTTCTCATATATATAATAAGGTGTTTGGATTAGGTGATAAGATGACCACTAAAGTCCCTCTCAGCTATTAAGTTCTACAATTCTGAAACCATCTCCTTATTTTCATGCTATTTGATCAATGTTCTCCACTATCGGGAGTTGTTGGTCAACAGGGGATAAGATAGTAAGTTTTCTATGGGCTATGCAATAGCAGAGACCAGTTCACTAAGGATTTTTCTCAAATGGCTTATATGGAAGTTATTGCTGAGAATTAGATGGTGAGCCTATTTATACTTTTTGCACAAGTTCATCATTTCCCTGCCTTGCGAATTCAGAAATTCATAGAAATAGTATTGGCCTACTGGCCCACTTTACTTTGAAGCATCTCAGAAAATAGGGATATTTCTTACTTGCATGCTCTGATTGATCCATTCCTTCTTTTCTGGTAATGCAGGCAAACGGCTGGATGCTCCATTGCAATGAGTATCTTGAACATCTCTCTCTAGAGACTAATTATTCACCATCAGTGATAGACTATTTAAAAAGCTACCACCAAGAAGCTACTAAAATATCTGCTGAGAACTTCCACAAAGTGAATGACATAGTGCTGGGCCTTGATAGCAAGAAAGAACAGAAACAGTGGAATATTTTATGGCTGAAGTGTCAGCAGACCAAGCATCATTTAGAAGAGGTCCTCTCTGAAGCTATCCAAGGTTCTGGCAGACAGTCTTTCAGCCAGGGTCCCCTGGAGGCTAGTCCAAAAGTGGAACATGAGTTTGTCATTGAAGGTCTGTGGAAACATGGTCAGTCTCCTGGACTTCCTAACCTTGACAGTAGCCTCTGGGAGAATAACAGACTACTGCTCCCCCAACGAGCCAGCTTCTCTGGAATACAGGCTCTTTCAGAGCAAGAGGAGCCAAGTTCAGGTATGTTTTCTCCTCTTAGCTCATCACCCTCACCAAGCGTTACTCCACTGTTGGGGGGGCTCCCCAGGACTGGTCCTCTTTTGGAGGATATGGACAACATCTCTACTTGCTACTCTGAACCTATTCAGTCCCCAACCACCCGGCACAGGAAACACCCTTTCAAAAAGATCATGAAGAAGACACAGAGCTTTGAACTTCCTCAACTTGACAGCAGCCCCAGTGAGCTGCACCGGCATGGATACACTGGCGTTTACATAAAAGGACTGGAGGTGGCCAGCAACGTGGCCTCTGAGAAAAAACATGGGCAAAGGCCAAATGTTAAGAGCCCGCTGATCAGTAGGAACCGAAGCTTGTCATCCCCTTCCAGGATTCATCACACTGAGGAGGAAAGAAAGAGAGTAGGAAGGTGAGAAATGACTACCACTAATCCTCTGAATTTAGGGAGAAGATTTTAGAAACACCCAAACTGTAAATGCATCCATGCTTTTCCGCAAAGTAGAAACTGAGATGCATAACTCCAGGATCCAAACCAGGCTGAAAAAGACATGAGTTTGGTTTGAGTCAACTGAATATGTTCAGAAATATTTTCCTGATTTTTTAAGGTGGGGATCAGTGAAAATATTTCCTCTTTGTTTCCGTATTCCCTTGTGGTGTAGAGTCCCACAAATACTGGCACTGATTGATTGTCAAGCTGGTAATTGTACAGACATTGGACCAGACTCTTTTTTCTGGTCCAGATGGATAAAATACAGTAAGCAAACCAACACCATCATTTGAAAATGAATTACATTAAAAAAAAAACAAATTTATTTTTCTTTACTTCTAAGTGCCAAGAGGTAAGAATTTTGTGTATAATTTCTCTGTTTGATCATGTCTCCTGAAGGAGTAAATTGTGATTTGTCAAACTTTAAGGTGTTTGTAAAGAAACTGACTTACTGAAAATAAGGATAAAGATAATTCATTCACCAGTGGCTAAGAAATTTAGACCATAACTCCATATTCAACTTGAATTTCAGCTTTTATATCATAATGTTTTCTTGTCTGAGCCTCTTTATCAGCAGTTTGAATGTGGTTTGGGGTTTCATTGGTTTTAAGTTCTAAAGGAAGGTATTTTTCATTAGTGCTTAAAGTGGCACCTTAATCCAAAATGAGGATGATGAGGTCAGAGCAATAATTATAGCAATAGGCTAACATTTTAGGACATCTGAATGGCAAAACAACCATACACACACAAACACTACACACCTAAGATTGCTAAATGTGTATATAATTTTTTAAAATAATAAATTGGTCACAAGTATTTATTAAGTACTTACTAGGCTCCAAGCATGCAGGCAAAAATGCAAAGAGTCCTTGCCCTCAGGGGACTTACATTCTATAGGGGAAGAAATTTCAACATAGAAGAATATGCAAAATTAATTCAAGGCAATTTTGTGAGGAGGCATTATACTGAGTTAAAGTATGCAAAGTACTTTCAGCTCAATACATGGAGCCTTTATTGAGCATCTACCATTTGCCAAAACTATGTTTTCCCTCCTAACAAACCTTATGAAGAAGGTATTGTAAGTACTATCCCATCATCATCCGTACTGTCTCTAATCTTCCATCTCTCCCTAACTGCTAGTTTCTTCTCTGCTGCTTACAAACATGCCCAAGGCTACCTACTGGTTTTAAAAAGCTTGGCTGCATCGTAATGCCAGCTATCATCCTTCATCCCTCCTCCCCTACTCAGCTAAACCCATTGAAAAAGCTGTGTACATTCAGTGCTTCTATGTCCTCTCACTCTCATAACCCTCTCTGCATTTTGACTTCATCATTCAACCAAAATTGCCCTCTCCAAGGTTACCAATAGTCTCTTAAGTGTACTATCTAATAGCCTTTCCTCAATCCTCATCATTCTTTATTTATACTGCCATATTAAATGTCTATCTTTACATAGAACATAAAAGCAAATAAGATTCAAGATGCCTTTGTGAGTTTTTTTTTAATATAAATATAATTATTTCCTGGGCTGTCTTGCAACCCTGGTAACCTCTAATCTATTCTGAGTTATCTGTGGTAACGAGGATAATAATGAGGTAATGAGGATCTGTGAATCCTGATTATCAGGATCCACAGATAATCCCAAAACTCCATTCTAGTCAATAGTTGGTGTCTTCTATTCTCCCACTGCAAAAGAAAAAGATACACACACACACACACACACACACACACACACACACACACCTCTTCATGTGAATATACCCAAAAAATTCTGAGGAAGTAGCCATGCTTGCTGGGTTTTTTATCTTCATTTCTCTTCTCTTATTCTTTACCAGAGGTTCCAAGGAGTAATGAAATTGGCGAGAGAGGCCAATATAAGGTGGACAAATAGGACAATCCAAAAGCCTGGTTCATCATGAATTTGATAATTAGCCCCTGAATCAATGAGTTAACTGCATTTAACTTCTTAGGGAGTGGAGGCAGAGAGGGAAAGCTTGAGCTTAGGGTGCCATGGACATGAGCTCTGTGTGTGGACCAAGCATGCTTGGTTTCCATCCTTTACTCAGGCCCATCTCTGAATTAGTCTGCACTCTGAGAAAGGCATTATTTCTGACATGAATTTGCCCTACAGGGAATAAATAGGCTACTTCAAAGAGACGTTATCTTTTTTTTTTTTTTTGCTGTATGCAAAGTACAAATTTGGGGGGATAGGTTCAGGAATTTTGCATTGAGTAGAAATATACAGACTGCAATAGAAATTGTGGAAGGAAGTCACACTGTTGGGGAAACACCCATACTTAGAGGAAATTCAGTCCTTCCCAAAAATCAAAGTTAGGGGAACACTTTTCATTGCAAGAATCAAAAAGAAAAATTTAAAATATTGTTTTCAGATACTGGTATGCAGACTATTGTCTAAACTAAAGTGTTTTTATCCAAAAGCCCTGTGCTTTTCAAAAAGAAGACACTTTGCTCAAGTCTCGCTTAATAACAACTTAAGCCTGGCACCCGGATTGTTTAAGCAAGGCATGCCTTATTTCAGGTTAGTGCTTCATTAACATCTTTATGGTAATTCAAAATTTCTAAAATGAGGAATTATTTAGTGAACTGGCGAGAGACAAACTCAGGAATGGTCAGGAATGCAATCACTACATACTCCCTTCTTTCCTGACTTTTATTCCCTAATCTAATTAAATTATTATTTTGAGCTGAGTCATCAGATTAACTGTGATGGAAAAACAGAAGGCATCAACAAAACATTAAAACCAATTAAAATAAATCACCAGACCACTGCCCCCTCAAGAAAAAATAAAGATTACTATTTTAGCTATCCAGATAAAATTAGGATTGAATTATAACAAACAAACGACAGAAAAAGGAGTTTGTTCTCAATATTACACCCTACTTCCTCTTCCCCCTCACTGCTCCCACTGCAACCCCATTTTAATTTAAGAACAAAAATCACTAATTCCATATGCTTCCCTCTTACCAGTAGTAGTGGTGGATCAGTACTTCTAAAACTGACCATAAAACCTAAGTCTTGTTCAGCAGAGGAAATCCTTTCCTTCTTTGTTGGTCTGCTGGAGAAAGTTAATTTGGTAGCACAAATACCTGCCAGAAATGTGTTTCAGCTGTCCTGGTCAGCTCCTCATAGGCCAGTGGTGCTATTAATAATCTGTCATATCTGAATTTGTTTAAACAATTCACATTATTTAAAAAAAAAAAACCCACTGTCTGATGAAGTGAGCAAATCAAACCAGCTATCCAGCTATGCTACAAATCAAATATCATCAGAATTTCTTACTGTGGATATCATTTCTGTCATTAGGTAGCTGATACTTACTTTGTCACATTGTATAAATGATGACAACTCAACATCTATCCCCACCACTTCTTATCAATTCACTCCTCTACTGAATTATTGCAGGTACTACTGAGGATTTCAGAAGACTTTTAATTTACAGTATCCTAGAAAAGAGTCAAGATAAGTGCTTAGTTTTGTTTTGTTTTGTTTTTTAAGGATTGTATATGGCTACGAAACAAGCTGTCACTTCATTTAGGTCTCCTCTTGAAAGTATGGTTGAATATTGATTTAAGCCAAAGGGCACAAAAGCTAAATCTGGTAGGGGCATAAATTGAAAGTAATCACACTCTGATTTCTCCACACAACCAGAACACTGAATCTCATATCCCATAGACTTGGCCTCTCAGTTACTCTGCCTTCTATTTGTGTTCCAGGATTTCATGCTGAAGACCCACTTTATCTATCATGCAGGGGTCTGGTGAAGTGAGTCATACTAACAAAACTCATACAAGATTGATTTGTAAACCAGAAGGCCAATATGTTCGATTTTGAGAACTACAATAAGACAATATGGTCTCTTGCCAGTAAGGACACCTTCTTGGGAAATGAAATAAAAGTCAAGAGATGATTTCCTGAATACAGAAGCACAGCAAAAAGGTTAACAGGATCATGGATTTAGAATTAGAAGAGCCCTTACAAGTCATAAATTCATGGATTCAGAGCCGGAAGAGATCTCAGAGGCCATAGAGTCCAGCATTCTTATTTTACAGATGAGAAAACTGAGGTATAAAGGGGTTTAGTGATTTGCTCAAGTTACATTGGGTAGCAGATGACACAGTTGAGATCATAAGTCAAGTACTCAGATTCCAAATCCAGTACCCTTTTATTACAACATACTTGAATGGCTTTAGGTACTGTTGTCAAGCTATGGGAGACAGTCACACCTTGAATCACAAAGAAGAGATATTCATTTTAGCTGTTCAGGCTCCCACTTTCTCACTCTGGAGACACCATGACAAATTCTTAGACTATATCTCTCCTTTTTATCCACTCCATAATGACCATGAGCTTTTTTCTGTGTTTAGGATTAGAATATCCCATTTTTTCATTTTATCAGCCTTTCAAAATATGTCATAATTTCTAATGACACAGCCCATTTTACATTGATCACATTTTAAGGCAGTTACTTCCTGATAGGAAATACACTTATCTTTGTAGTAAATTATCTCCCAGCCCGATTTTAGGATGGATTATTTCAGGGACAGTCTCCTGTGAACATTTACCCTGGCCATGATAGGTATAATCTTGCTAGTTCCATAACTCCTTCTCCTTGACCTGGGTGTCTTGAACTTTTCTTGACTATTTCCTGAACTGTCATCTCAACCATTTCTTTTCCTGTGTCTTTGGAGTCCATTTTATTTTGAGGCCTGTTGACTTCCATCCACAGCTTATATTCTTCATTTTTTATTTGATTGAATTTGTGACTATAAGACAAAATAGATTTTTTCAGAGCATTTTGTGTTTGGGTAGTTAGCTTATGAATCAGAAGTCAGTTTTCTCCAATTTATTTCATCTCATTCTTGTTTTATTTTGTTGAATATTTTCCATTTTTATTTAATTATAGAACTACTTGTGTATTTAAGACTCCAAGAACTGGATTTATTTCTGAAATGAAAGTCACTTTGACTCAAAATATATGCAAAATTTTTATTAATGGCTTGGATAATGGGAAAGATATCATGCATATCCAATGTGAAGATGGGATAATTAGCATGTTGGAAGACAGTATTAGGATTCAAATAGATTTTGATAGGTTAGAAGATTGAGTTAAATCTAAAAAGATGAATTGTAATAGGAATAAAGGTAAAATCTTAATTTGGATTTAAAAAATCAACTAAAGTACAAAATGAGGAAAGTATGACTAGACAGCAAATCATGTGAAAAATATCTGGGAGTTTTAATGAATTATAAGCTCAATAAAAGTCAACAGTGTGACTTGGAAGGCAGAACAACTAATGCAATTTTAGGTTACATGGAAGTACATAAGATCCAGGAAAAATGAGGTGATAGTCCCACTATCTGCTCTTGTCAGACCACATCTGAAGTTTTAGTGAAGTTTTGGGTGCCATGTTTTAGGCAGAGCATTGATAAACTGAGGAGTGGGTAGAGGAGAGTGAACAGGACAGAGAAACCTCAAGTTCATGCCTTAAGAGGACTGGCTGGAGGAACTTGGGATGCTTAATGTAGAGAAGTAAAGACTTAAAGGGAGACAAAATAGCTATCTTAACACATTTGAAGGGCTGATACATTACAGAGAGATTAGACTTTTTCTTTTTTGCCTCAGAGGGCAGAACTGGGAAGAATGGATGGAAATCACAAAGAGGCAAGTTTAGGCTTGAAAAGCTTCGAGATAATTAAAGCATCCCAAAGTATAATTGGGCTACCTTGCCAGGTGGCAAGTTTCCCTTCCTTGAAGTCTTTATGCAAAGGCTGAGTGACAATCTGTCAAGTACATCAGTTAGATATGATCCTGTTTCCAGGACAGTTTGCGATAGGTGGCCTCTTTAATCCCTTCCAAATCTAAAATTCAGTGATGCATGGAGCCTGTGTGGAATTCAGTCATATTATACATCATCCTCTTCATTTCCAACAGGTCCTTTACACTTGGGTGAGGAAAGGCCAATACTGCCTTTTACAAGTAATATGGAAAACTTTCTTGTCACAGAAAGATCTTTCCAAATCCAGCTAAGGCTTTTTTATTTTTTCTACCATTTCTTACTTCCCTACCTCAAAAAAGCAACTCTTAGGACTAAATAAGGTAAGGTAGGTAGCATGCAACCAAGAGTGTAATACAAGGAAGGAAGGATGCATAGAGGAATGCTTTTTTATAAATGCGCATATTTTTAATACCAGAAAACTCCATTGTCTGTGCAATACGGGGATTTATGTTGTGATAATTTACTTTAAGTAGCATAGAGGAATTGAATTTTTCAAGTAGAGGGAAAGGTAGATAGAGATGTCATGCTAATTTCATCCTTGTTTAGAGTACTCACAAACCCTATCCTGGCTCTACTCTGAGGTTATCTGGGAGGAAAGGAGGGAAACCAAGGTATTAGGCCATCCACTAAGACTGTGAATATTTTACCGCTTGGAATTATTCATTCTTTGAAAACTGGAAGAACTGAATAGAAAGATTATCTTTTTGACCATGTGACCAATCTATTTATAACCCAGCTTACCTCCTCACTTCAAAAATTGATTTTTTTTTAAACACTAGGGTTCTCTAAGCCTGTTTTTGTTCCTATGTGTGACATGTATAACATGAAATAAAATTTCTTTTATAAAACCCAAAGCAAAGCCACTGTGACTGCAGCCAAGGACCCCTCGCCATGTTTGAGTGCTGAGCAAACATTGTCATGACCTTTCCATGTTCAAAACAGCTGTTCTGTGTCTTCCAGCAATAAAGTGCAGCATATAATGGATGAAATGATCACCACTGAAAGGGAATATGTTAGATCCTTAGGATATATCATCGACAACTACTTTCCAGAAATGGAAAGAATGGACCTCCCCCAGGACTTGCGAGGGAAGCGCAACATAATCTTTGGGAACCTGGAGAAGCTCTATGATTTCCACTGTCAGTATTTTCTCAAAGAGCTGGAGCACTGCAGAGACTGTCCCTTGCCTGTCAGCCACTGTTTTCTGAGACATGTAAGTTCCCCTTCCAAGGAAGGGTTGGTCTTCTTGAGATTCCAGGTGTCTACAGCTAGCTAGCTGTTAGGATTACCAAGGGAATTGCTGTATTCCTTACCTGTTCTGGGTTTCACTGAGGAAATGGCCTCTAGCTACTGAATGCCCTGTGAAGTCCTTCCCAGTTTTAAAAATTCCTCCTGGACAGTGAGTACTCCTATATGCCCACAGCAGTGAATTTGAATTTTTCAGATGCTTGGGATATAGAGTCAGGAAATATATATAGGAGGCAAACTCCAAGGCTATTTTTGAAACAAAAAATTTGGCACCAAAACAATTTATTGTTCTTACAAAAGGCTTGTTCGGGATCTGGTTCCACACTTTTTGGGGAAAGCTGAAGTGTTATTTAGCTTGATCATCCTAAAATCAAGAAGGAGGGGAAGGTACCAATGGAAGGAAATAACACTTCACAATGCTTCTCCTCATTACTGGAGAACTAACATTTCACATAAAAGGATGGAATTTCACACACATGGGATGGAAGAAAATATACTGACTGTACATGTAAATGAAATCAGTTGTACAGTTCATCTCCCGACATTCAAGCAAAGGCTCTCTGGTCATAAAGTGCCCAAACTCAATGTCAAAGAGATGAAGTAGGCGTGCAATCTCGGATTTTCTTGCTACTGGCCTCCTAGTGCCTGTCCATGAAAATAAGAAGAGGAATGCTATGGATTTGTATAGGACTTTGCAGTTTTCAAAATGCTTTCATAGACATCTGTTTGTGGGTTAGCCTACGTACTGACATACCACCTACTCCCAATCCAGAATTGTACTCTATGGTCTCTGTGCTTGAATGTGGCAGCTAAAGTCTCGAAGAGCTCAGGTTAGTGATTGAGGAATGGTTGCTTTCCATTCCGTTCACCTTCTGGGCAAGTCACTTAATCTCCCCAGATCTCTGTTTTCCCATCACTAAACAGTAGATTGGACTAGACGGCTCCTTGGCCTTTGAGGTCCCTTCCAGCTCTGAATTCTATGACCCTATCTTTGATCCTTCAACTTGGAAAGGGGCTTCATTTTCTATCCTGGGACCATTAGAACTTTTTTTGTCTCTTTTGTCCTTTCATCAGAATGTTCATGTTAAGAGCTTGTTTTTATAAAGTCATATTTCCTATTCCTACCCTTCCCCCCCAACACACACACACACACACACACACACACTTCATCCCTAAATTCTAAAGCAATTCCCTTTTCTCAGTGGTGGTTATTGGGTAAGAGTGAATAGAAACAAGTGGATATACTCAGTTCTCCTGTCCCCATAGAGGATAATGAGGAGGATAATAAGAAGATTAATGAGCTTATGCTTATTAATGCCCCTCTCTAATATCTTGAGTAATGGTAGACAGGCTACAGAATGTGTCAAGAACTCTACATCTCCCTTCAATTCCCCTCCAGTGATTGCCAAAGGAAACTGGTAACCATTTTTTGAAGCTTGCAGAGGTCAGAAAGTGAGGCCACCATAAGTGATAGCTAGAGCCCTGCTTTCAGATTTGGGCACCCATTCTATTTAGATGTGGGAGAATAATGGCATGTGTTGCTTGAAACTATTGTTTCTTTGCTCTTTGTACAGCAGAACCATAAAGAAAGTGCTCAAGGAGCAATGCCAAAATCACACTGAGCTTGGGAATGTCAAAACAGACTTTGAGAGATGGCCATCCCCTGACTGCCCTCCACCCCCTGGCAAAAGCTTAAGGAGAATGCCAAGAGCCAAAGAAAGAGAAAGGGGAAATTACTAGATGTCTTTTTGTCAGTTCCTTAGCAGTATGTTCAAGACCAGGGTCTGCCAAGCAAGAGGAAAACAACCCAAGTCCCATTAATAAATAAAGTACGCTAGGTGGCCTGGGGAACATTACCAATATAAGAAAAGCTTCTGGATTGTCAGGGCCCAAATGCATACAATGTCAAAATGGAAGCTTTGATAAGGAAACTAAAAATCTGCTATCTCCTCTTCTCCCTTCCCCACCCTCAGTAATCACATCAGCCCTATAAACAGCTGCTGCTTCAGATGTTAGCATTTTGCTATTTAAAAAAAAATAAAAAAATCTAGGCCACAACAGTACTAAGTCATGACCTCTGAAAACATTTTCTTGATTAGTAGTCCAGGGGCAGTTCGGTGGCCTAGTGGATACAGCGCTAAGCTTAGGGAGAAGTCCTGAATTCAAATGTGGCCTCAGACACTAACTATGTGATGCTGGGTGACTGTCAAAGACATTAAGTAGAAGAGAAGGCTCCAACTTACATTTTTAGGAGGACTTTTTCTTACCAGGATGGGCCCAATGCCAATGAAATCACAGGTCCAGTGCCTATACTTTAAGAAAATAAATCCACTTTTGCTTCATTGTAACTTTGTTTCCCATTTTTCTTCCTTTTTTAGCATTTTAACACTTCTCTTTTCTCTAGCCCTCAGTTCTCTTTTCTTTCTATTCCCTCTTTCCCACAAGTAGAGGATAACAGGCCCCAAGAAACCTATTCAATAGCTGTTTCTGCTGGAGATACTACATTGTTACAGGGCACTCCTAGAAACCTTCCTATGTTGATCATGACTATTGTGGTTTCTGGATTCTAGAGTTTCACCTTCAGAGCCTGCCTGTGTTTAGGTTTGGTAATTATTATATAATTACCAAATTATATATATTTGTAATATAATTATATTATATATAGATAATAATTATAGCTCACATTTATATCACACTTTCAGATTTGTGAAGTTCATTGTATACACTTTCTCTTTCGAGCCTCGCAACAGTCGTGTAATATAGGTACTATTATTCATCCATTTTATAGGTGAGGAAATTGAGGCTCAGATTGGTTAGGCAGCTTGCTTGTGGAAACACAGCTAATGAACTTCTGATTGCTGATGCCAAGGTTAGCTCTCTATTATGCATCATGCCACATTATCTTCACACTCTCTCTAAGGTAGCTGGAGTTGATGAAGTAGGAGACTTCAAGAGAGTCTCCCAGGCTTCCCTGAAGGTTAGAGGGAAATAAATGGGTGGAGAGTCTTTCCTAAAATACTTGCCTTTCCTAATGTTTTTTATTAAGCCTTTGCCAGGTAGTAATCATGCTTAGGATTAAGTAAGCATTCACACCTAAGCGTGTAAAGGAGGGTATTTGAATGAGGGTGGCTTGGGACAGAGGTGTTAGTTCTTCTCATTTTAAGACTGTCCCTATGCGGTTTATGAGTCGTCCACCTCTTGGTCTCATTGTTCTCTCCCTCAACAAGACCTCCCCAAAGCCTCAAAAATAACATCACCCCGCTCAGTGATTATCAACTAGTATTTCCCTTTCCCATTTATAAAAATGCAACGTATGTGTTTTGGCAAAATAGTTTCCCAACTCTTCCATTCCCAAGGGACCTCTTGTGAAACAATGTGTAGACTGTTGGACTTGTAATCAGGAAACTTGAGTCTCAGATACTTACTGTGTGATCCTGGGCAAGTCCCTTAATCTCTGTTTGTCCCAGTTCCCTAACCAGTAAAATGGGGATGATAATAATAGCATCTACCTCAGAAGATTATTGTGAAAATCAAATGAGATAACCTATGAAAAGCGCTTTGCAAACCTTTAAGAACCAAACGTTGTTATTCTTGTTGTGTAGTTGTTTTTCAATCAAGTCCGACTCTTTGTGACCCTATTTGGGGTTTTCATGGCTGAGATACTAGAGTAGTTTGCCATTTCCTTCTCAAGCTCATTTTACAGATGATGAAACTGAGGCAAACAGGGTTAAGTGACTTGCCCAGAGTCACAGAGCTAGTAAGTATCTAAGGCCAGATCTGAACTCAAGAAGAGGAGTCTTCCTGACTACAGACCCAATACTTTGTGCACTATGGCATCACCTAGCTGCCCCAAAGAATTAAATAAATGCTAGCTATTATTATTGTTATTGTTATCAATGTGGATTAATAAGATAACCATGTGTGACAATTTTCTTTCTGAAACTCCTCTGTGGCCCACTACAGAGTGTTTTTTAACCTGTTGCCAGCTTCCCGTCCCCCCAGCATCTCCAGCCCATCACCACAGCTAGACCAAACAGAGCCCTTGCTTCTCCACCTCATACTTCCTCTTTGTTACAACATCATAATCTCTTAAACTGTCTTAAACTGACTTAAACTGTCACCCCATTTGTCATCCTTCTTCATCCTATCCTGGGCCCCTTTGGCAGCTGGACCTTTGGTGACACAGCTGTGTTCCTGGGCAGTCTGGCAAACTTAAAGCCCGACATCCCCTTAGTTCCCCACAGAGTTTCGTTCTCTAACATCATTAGAGTTGAAAAGTGTTTAGGATTCAGGACTCATAGGACTGTTAATCAATCAATCAATCAACAACCATCTATTAAGCATTGACTGTGGGCCAGACATTGTCCTAGGTGCTAGAGACACAAAGACAAAAACAAAACTGTCCTATCTTCAATGAGTTTACATTCCATTAGGAGGGACAATTTGTACATATATAAATATATGAATGAATAAATGAAAATGCATTTATTAAACATTAACCATGTGCCAGAAACTGTGGTAAGAGCTAGAGAGAAAAAACCAAAAAAGCAAAAAAATCTGCCCTTAAGAATATGTTAATTTTGTATGGGTCATAGTCCATGATGCCAAAGATTATTTTAGCAAGATTTTGTATTTATTCAAGTACCTAGCACAGTGTTCTATATACCACAAGAGCTTAATAATTATCTATTGAAGTGAATAGAAAGGAGAGGTTTTTCCCAAGAAGGGTTCTTCATCTGTATCTGTCCATAATTCACATTTCTTCCACAGACCTTATGTGAAATGAGCACAGAAGTCCAGTGTCCTCCATAGCCGTCCTCTCCCAGGGCTCCACCAGTTAGACAGTCAACAAGCATTTATTTAACTCTAACTGTGCAAACAAACAAAGGCCAAAACAGTCCCTGCCCTCAAAGAGTTTACAATATAATGAGGGAAATACGAAAAAGAAAAAGTCATACATGTAAA